AGCGACACTTAATACTAAATCTTTTTGATAAAGCTTGTATCAGTCAACACAGCTCAGTCCATGCTGAATGACACGCTTCACATCCACCTGATGCAGTAACTTAAAAATACCACAGTGGGGCAGGAGTTGACAAGGAACCATTTGCTTCTGAGGAACCTTTTTTGACCAAATCRTTTGCAAGGGTTCTTTGTAAGACTAAGCCTTTCATTAAGAACCACTTTTATTTAAAGAACCCTTTCAGAAGAACACAGAGTTTTAAGGAAACTTCCGAAGAAACAATTTAAGAAAATTCTGAAGAAGATTATGGTGAATGAGGCCCATCAAATCAATTATACTCTCCAAAATATTTTGCTGAACATCTTGCATTTTGTCTCTAAAGGCAGACAAGTGAAGATCTCAAGAAATGTTAATGCCACCTCAATAATGGTCAAAACTATAAACCAGCACAAATAATAAAAATGATAATCATCAACATAAACCACCATGTTCTGAACTGACACATAACCAAACAGTATATTAAAACATAAATCACCAAACCTGCAAAACTACTGAGTGTAACATGCCTAATGTATGATGAGAAAGGTGGGCCATCACTTATGTCTGTCCAGATGTTGCTGCCTCTGCATCCCTAGCTGGTAGCAGAGAACGATAATGCAAAGTATTTACTTTTCATACTTTTTGTTGGCAAAGTATTTTAAAGCTCCAGTGCTTTATCAACAGTAAGTAGACATTCTGAGCAGAAGGGGAAAAAACTATGGATTTAGTTCTGTTCATATCGTATTCATGCTGCATTTTTACAGTGTAGTCCTTCTGTAGAAAACGCATGCTGCATTCTATAACCTATCATGAAGAGGTCTGCACAAGCTGCTGCTACATGCATACACCATATCTAGCTTGGCGTTGAGTTCCATTATTTTGGGGGTTCTACATGTTCCCTGCTCATCCTAGCATGCTGCTCGGCTAATCCAGGGAACATCCAAGGAATGGAGCAACCAATGCCAACTTGTATAACTGTATTTCCATTTATTCAATAAATGGTTAAACCGACTGAACTGAAGTTATCCTCTGACTGTTTTCATTCTGTCACATTGTTCTGACACAACTGGTAAATGTGCTGTCAAGGTGTGATCTCCT